GTATATATTGCTGTTCTCTGCCCAGAGAACTTTGTCTATTGGGTGGTATAGAAATTAATGTGTTAAATAAATAAAACACAAACAGCTAGGATTGCCTGGTATCATATGTATATTCAGAACACCATGATGTGAAATATTTTCTTGGTTTACCTGGATTTCAGGTTGCAAATATGAAAACTCGTTCATGCCCTTTACTTATTATTACCATCAGAGAACAAGCTTTATCTTTGAATAATATTTCTTGCTACATTCTTATCTATTCTTTCAAAGAACAATAGTTTACCATACACTGGGTACACATTTTTATTGACTTCTCAAATGTATTTCAGACTACTGAACACATTTCTTATTAATGGAATCCTGTCTTATATTTTTGCAGTGTGTATTATGTTGAACAAACCTGGCTTTTAGAGTTAGTGTGGCATATGAGAGTTTGCAAACTTTCTTGGAAATATGCAGGATAGAGAAAAATGTCCATATTGTTTGAATGAGTTCATTTCCAAGCCTTAAAAGTTCTGATCCTATCACTTAAGAACTTCTTGAAAGACCAAAGAAGATATCACTCATTTAAATGGTTCTGGCCTTTGGGCTAAATAGCACTATCAAAAGGCAATAAATCATTTGGTCTTGCTTGTCTAGGCAAACCAATGGGGCTATGTACATTTCCATGACCTCATAATAAAATTTGATGAGTCTGTTAGATTATATTGCCAGTAACTGAAATGATCTATGATTCAGCTAACAAGCTCATAGGCGATGCTATATCTTCTGCCTTATCATTTTGCTTAGAAGCTGATAAAGAGGCAATCTCAATTACCTTATCATTTCCCCCTGTTTATTATTGCTACAGGCAATATTCTGAAAGGTTGAAGATGTAGAAGCCTCTCTCCAGTTGTGTATTTAAAGAAATAGCATTTTTGACATAACAGAGCTTCTTGCATGCACATTGCTTGGCCACAGCTGCTGATTGTGTTATGTAGCTCCATTTGTTTGTCGTTTTGCCATCAAGTCCCTCATAGGTTTTCCTGTTGAAATATTAAAAAGTGACTGCCTTCACTACTGCTTCTGTCACGCCTTGGCAGTACCTGATTCTTGTTTGTTCCTGCCTTTGCCTTTCCTTCTGGACTTATCACTTCTTGTCAGCACCTTATCCTTGCTGGCTGCTGATCTTTGTTTTGCCTCTGGAACTGCCATGCCTTGTCAATATCTGATCCTTGCCCGTTTCTGAATCTGTCTTTGCTTCTGGTTCTGCCATGCATTGATGGTATATGAGCCTTGCTTGTTCCTGTCTTTGTCTTTGCCTCTGCTCCTAATGCATCAACCCAATGCATCATCCACCTCTATCACCTTGTGCTCCAACCACAGAAACCTGCTGCTTATGTCATGAATCTGACAGAAAAGGCATTAGTATTATTTTTATTATAAATTCTATACCACCCAATAGCAAAAGCTCTCTGGATGGTTTGCAACAGTTCATAGAATAAAAAAAATGCAATGAAACACCATAAACATTTTCTAAATGAGCATTTAGAAAACAATTTCACAGCTAAAACAGTACAATTTGTACAGCAGTAACTTGACCCAAACAGACACTACTTTTGTGAAAAAAATGTCATTTTTCATATTATAAAGTATTCTTAATTTCTGAAAGATAGTGGGGCACAGGTTATGTGTGTGTCATCCCAGATGTGATGGAGCTGGCTTCACTTTGTTCTTCATGAAAGAAAGATGTTCAGTTTGTGTTCAGAGGACTTTCACATGATCTTTGTATTTTGCATAATCCAGGATCAAACCCTGGCATTAACAACGGGTTGTAAAGTTCATCTATGGCACATATAAATGGTGCAGCTAGTGCACTGATAGCAAAGAATCCAAAGAAAAGTTGTAGTTTCAGCACAGAGATCTTCAAAATTGGTGTGCTGGTGAACTATATTGTAAATAATAGGATTTAGCTTTAATTTGAATCAGAATTATTTGATTGAAAACTTTGCACTGTTGCTCTGATATTTGGATAATACCACATGCCAGATATTAATAATAGATTTTCTGAAAACACTATTTGATTTTCTATGCCTGCTCCTAATTGTTTTATTTCACAGGATGTGATAATGAATGTGGGGTTTTTGGTCTCTGAAAGCATACAGAGTGTATCTCTGTGATAGACATTCAATGAACAGCAGTTTTAAAATGTATTAGCATTAGAACTTGTCATATTTTATGTGAAATCATGTTGTCAACTGTGAGGTTGATAAGTAAGCATTCCTGTGGATTGGCTTGTCTATGTTTGCAAGCATATTTTTCTAAGTGTTTCTGTATCTCTTCTTTGCAGATTCAAAAAGCTACATATGTATAAGAAGCTAAGCAGTTTGGCTACAAGGCTACGATTTGCATGTAAATAAGCAAAGCAAAAGGTGCTATCGTGCATAAAACATCTACCACCACCTTCCCTTTAGGAAGCATATGATATCTTGCTATATGTTGCTATTGTTTTTCAGGGCTGGCCCTACCATTAGGCAGAATGAAACAGCCACATCAGACACCAAATGCTGGGAGGAGGCAACAAAGTGTCAGAGGAAAGACCTATGGGCCATGTAGCCTGTTCGGCATCCTGTGAGCTGACATGCTGTTTTGGGGTGTGGTGGACAATGCTGTTCCATTGCTGGTGCTGAAAAAAAGCTGCTACTCTAGTTGGCGTTTGTATATGGAAGAAGAGAGGGAACCACTTTGTTCTTTGCCGCAGCCATCAAAATGTCTTGGGCTAGCCAGTTGTTTATTGTGTTTTTTTATAATGTTTTTGACCTTCCATACAAAATATGTTAAAAGATTTCATACTCCAAAGGGCAGGACAGAAGTAAGTGTAATAGCTCTATAAGCCAATGAAAAGGGAGATACGGACTAATGGCTGTGGACAAATGAATGGTTGCTGAGGATGGGGGCATTATTCTTTGATGCCTTCCTTGGTGTCCGTCTTGCTGAATAAGTGCAGACTCACACAAATGGTTCTGCACCAGTGCAGAGCCTTGCCTAGGATGCTCTGAATTTGATGGGGCAAGCCCTCTTCCTACAGGGTATTGGCAGATAGACATAAGAGTCTGGAACACACTGTACTGCTGCATTTCTTAATGTTGCTGTAAGAGGCTCAGGCCTTGCACTATGTGGAAGAAGTTCCAGCTGAAATGAGTGAGAGGTCACGCAAGCATTGTCTTGTGGGTCCTTAACCCTGCTTTGCTTGACTCCAACCTCAACCATCATCCAGAAGCCTAATTTCCTAAGAATGAAGAGCATTCAGTTTAGACACTGAGCACACTCTATAAGCTAACCTCGTCCTCCTTGAGCACTGAGTTGTATCAGGTCCATATTTAGTGTGAATAGGACCGTGAATAACATATGAGCTAACTAATTTACTACCAGACTTCATAGAACAACGTTAATGACAGAAGACAAGCCGATCCCTGAAGTGATTGTTTTGTATATTTTGATTCTTATGTGAGCAATAAAAACACCTTAGAAACAGAACTGGTGCGTCACTGCAAGAAATCTGCTAGGATGTGCCATTGCCAAGATTAAAAGATCATTTTTTAAACTTTGCTTTTCAGATCATGCATAGAAGTAAAACAGGTCACTGGAGAGGATGGCTGTTAACAAGGATGTGCCTTTCCCTCTTCTGACGCCATTCACTTTCAGCTATGGGGGAAGCGGTTACTGTAGTTATGTTTATTAATTATTTTATTCCACTGAATAAACAGTCAAAAGGTTTAGCAAGAAATTATTTTGAAAGACTGCTTCTCAGTATTTCTTATGTACATTTCTTCATAATGGGAATTTAGTATTACAGTAATTTATCAAATGTGTACCTCTTAATACAGTGCAACCATGTCACATTTTTGTCCTTTTTTCTTACAAATGGGTATTCTTATCACACTTGACACTCTCAGCATCTAGCAGAGAGGTGGGAAGCTTGAAGCCTTTGTCTCTCTTGTGGTACAGACCTGTGCCAGGGTGGAGATGCTCACCTTTTGCACACATTGGAGAAAAGTTTGCACTCTCACAAATGAGAGTTTTTCCTCTGGAAGAGAAAGTATAGAGGGCACATCCTAAGTGCTCTCTTTTATTAGGACCTGAGAAATCTGGAGGGTATTCTCTCAATCTATTTTGCTTTTCCAGAATGATTTAATGACTCCTAGCTGGGACACTTGTGCTTTAAATCCTCAGATATTTCAAAAGGAAGGAAATAACAAATGCTTTTGTAGATTTTGCCAGACTCTTTATGGGTAAATTTGGCAAGCTAACCACCCATATGGTGTTTGGTGTTCCATGAATATAGAAGTATATTGTCCAGAGTCTTTTAATACATATTTATGTTCTGTTCTTTGTATAGAATGAAAACTGGCTTTTAACCAAAATGAATTTCTCTGATAAACGTTAAACTGCTGGATTGCAGAGAAGAGTAAAATCAATCAAAAACTGGCATAGCGTTAACATTCTGTACTTCTGTTCTTTTGTATTGGTGGGATAATCAGCTAATAAATAATCTGATTGCTTCAGTCCGCCAACAGTATTACCAGTTCAAGCACACCTGCAGACTGTGGATCATTGGTCTGTTCTACATGAGGCATTTATCATACGTCCATCATTCTCATGGTTGTTTGCAGCTTTTTAGATTATGCTATGACCTTCCACTTCTGTGTCTGAACAGCACTTTTGGCAAGTTCTTTTTTAGAGCAGAGAAAGTAGCTTCTTGTCTACAAGTTATGCATCAAGACAATCAAGTGCTGAGGCATAGGCATTTCTTTCAGGACCATCCATAGCTCTCTTAATCCACATAGTCAAAGACTTTGCTGTAGTCTATAAGCACAGTCTGATCTTCTGAAATTCTTCCAGTGTGCCTCAGGAGCTCATGTACATTTGTGATATGATTGCAAGTGCATCTTCCTTTTCAGAATCCACCTTGAACATCAGGCATTTCTCACTCCATATGGATAATATTCTTTGTTGTAACACCTTGAGTCTCACTTTGCTTGCATGGAATTTAGTGCAATGATCCTATAGTTGCTGCACTTTTTTGCATCTCCTTTATCGGGCATTGAAATGTATATTGAATATTTCCAGTCTGTGGGCCATTGTTTGTTTTCCATATTTGTTGGCATATGATCCAATTCAATATCTGCAGCTTGGTATCCTATCTGCCTGGGTGCTTCACTCCTTCCAAGTACTTTCAGAGTAGCTTTCACTTCACTATCTAATATTGCAGGTTCTTCTTCAGAGGGTTTATCTTGAAAGGAATCTGTCATCTGCTTATTTCTTCTGAATAGTTCTTCTGTATATTGTTTCCATCTTCTCCTTAATGGTCTTTCAACATTCCTAATGTGGGTCTGAACTTCCCTTTGAATTCTTGGATCTTCTGTAAGAGGTATCTTCTTTCCCCCCTTTTTTCTCTTCTATTTCTTTGCACTGGTGATTGTAGCAGTTATATTTGTCACTTTGTCTGCAGAGGGGAACATAATTTATATATAACAATCTACATCTATATTAATTTAATCAGTTTTATAACTGTTCAGTTATACTTTATAATCACAGGAAGATACAGGAAAATAAAAAATCCAGAGCCAGGTAATGTAAGCACTCCCTTTCCAGTTGTTAATTTTGATTGTCAAAGGCCAGGTATGATGTATATATGAAACTTGGTTACCGTATATACCAGGAGTGGCCATACTAAGGTTTGTGAGCCACATGAGCTCATTGTGTTTATTTTGCTGCTTGCTTGCTACCTGCAGTTGCCACCTGTGGGCACTCACTTGTGGCTCCCAAACACCTGATTTTTACTCTTGCGGATGTCTGGGCACCCCTGCTATATACCACTCTTCCTTCAGGAAGCTCAGAATGGCCCACATGGCTCTCCAAGCTGCTGGGATGTTATGGAATGATCATAAACATTCTATTCAGTACTGAGGAGACCTGTTTAGCTTTTGCAGTGTATCAGCATCATCTGTTTTCAGACTGTATTTTCTCCATGATGTAAATATGCAGTCATATTTCCTGTTAAATAAAAAGTGCTGTCAGTTAAAATAGATTAAAACAGATTATGCCACTTCAGAAGGTACATATTTTAATATCTACAGTGTGTTATAAGGCTTCACTTAACAGAAGAAGCTGAATAATCATGAAAACCTGCAAAGTAAAGCTAAGTGGGGATAAGGCAGCTTCAGAACTTTTTACTTCCTTGTTATCAATTACCATAATTTTCCTCTCTTCCAGGTTCTTCTTGATCTAATAAAAAATCACTTATGCATCATGCAGGCTCCTCACGATGTATACAAATAAGCCAGTTTCTCAATATTTCCCAAAAGGAGATTTCCCAGCAGATTCCAGACATATTCCCATTGGCCTTGGCAAACAATAGTATCTCAAGTGAAAAATAAGGTGTAACCATTCTGCATTGCTGACAAATATTGTCCTCCACTTATGGTGAAATGTCTACTTAACAAGAATATAAACAAAAGCATAAGGATCAGTTCCTTAAAACTAACCACTCTGCAAGTGATCTATCCATTTAGTGGGGGCCTTTAACCACACCTACCTGTAGACAGATTAGAAAGAAGCCCTTTTCACGTCTTGCTTGTGTAGAAGGATCTTATACATAGTTGGAACAGGACCTTCTCACTGTCTTCACAAATTAAGTTGTGCGGCCCATCCGGCTTCATGCCCTTATATCTGCATATTGAACAGAGACATCTTAATGGAAATCCTTACCTGTGGCCAGGTACTCACGTATAGGCATCTTCAGGCTTTTGCACTAAATGCTTGGATGCAGGGGCAGGGGAACAGGTAGGGCCAACATATCCAGCAGCTCAGCCCCACTGATTCCAGATGGACAGCTTCCAGTCAAACTGTGCACTTATTTTACCTTTCCCTCCTTAGCTCATGTCTTCATGGTAGGAAAAGAAGAAGAAATTGCAGGAAAAAATCCATGAATTATGCATGGGAGACATGATCTTGCCATTGCTATACCCCCTGTATTATTCTGGCTAAAAGAACTGCTCTAGCAGGGGTGTCAAAGTCAGACTTTGATGGAGCAAATGTAAGTCTGTCTAGGCCTGAAGTACAGCCAGCCCAAAGATGTTTGCAGACCAGAAAATGGCACCTTCACCTCAAGTCGGAATAGCTGATTTATTTTGGCTGAAGGCAGAAAATGTCACATGCACCATGTTCCCTCCCTGACAGGCAAAATGCAACAATAATAATTTGCCAGCACTTCATAACTCCTGCCTAAGGTGGCCACTTCCTTCTGCCTCAAAGTGATGAAAAACTAGTCACAGAGTAGCCCTGTTCCAGAGTTCAAAAGGGGCAAAAATCTACTTGAGAGAAGTCCTGTGCCATCCCATGGTCCACTCCCCCTTTTCTCATATTTTGCAGGAGGAAGGGAGGGAGGATGCATGGCACTCTGATGCATTGGCCACAAATACACAGCCCTGGTTTGGCAGCTGCTTGCCTTGTTCTTTCTCTTCTCACCTCTGGGGCTATGCAGCCACTGCAGGTTGTACCCCTGGCCACGGTGCTTCTGCCTCCCTGTCTAGTGTGATTAAGGGATGAGTGCAAGCCTTGTGCAGTGTTTCCCTGGCCTGGGAAACCTAGAACAGTGCTATGGCAGCCCCCAGGTTGAACCCCAGCTGGTCAGCTCAGGCAATTGCTAGTCAGCTCAGGCAAGACACACATGGATGCTTTGCTTCAGTGAAGGGAAATACCAACCTTCATTAGCACATTGCATGGTTTTCCATGCTGCTAAACATGATCTACACTGAGTTGTAAGGATCACAGCTTGTGCGCCTCTTTGATCAATGGCATTACTGGAAAAGGTCCATAAGAAAAACTGTTCATGGCTTCTGTGGTTGCTTGGGTGAATAAATGGAGAGCCTTTTCTTTTAAAGTACTGTTGGATACTGAGTTGGCAGGCAAAAGTAGGAAAGCATGCCAGTGATAAGAGAGGCAGCTAGTTAGAAGCGGATGAGCTGCCAAAACCTCTGCACCATGCGAGGATGCACATTTATGGCTATTGCTTTTCATTCAAGAGATGGAGAGGGTTGTTGTATATTGAACTTAACCAGTTTAAAGGATATGTAAATACATACATTATACTGACTAGATCAGCAATTCTAAAACATCGCAACAGAAATCACAGCCCTGTTCAAAAGTTCTTGTGAGCATGCATACCAAGGAGTAGGGGGTGCGACAGGGAGGATCATACTTATTTGCAGCTCCTGGCCTTTCTCCTGCCCCTCATGTGCACTTGGTGTGAAGCAGAGGTTACATTTTGGGTGGACCTGACAATTTGAGAAAGGGCCCTGGGCGCCACACACAGCACCATTTGCAGCAACAGACCAGTAAGACTGAGTACCAGGCAGTGGTGGGTTTGAATTCCAACACAATAAGCAACTCTTTTGAACTAGAATCTGCATCACCCGCAGAACCCTATTCCATAGCAATCCTAGCTGCCAGGTTATTTTTAAAGGCCACATCAAATAGAAGTCAGAAGCGGGCAGAGTAGGGCTCTTTGGAAGTGCTGAGAAAGCAGTCCAAGGGCACATTGGTGTGAGTGGCCATCGAGTTGCCTACACCAGGGGTCCCCGACCCCCAAGCTGTGGATCAGAATCGCTCTGCGGCATGTTAAGAACTGAGCTGCACAGCAGGAGGTGAGCAAGCCAGCGAGGGAAGCGTCCTTGGTATTTGCAGCTGCTCCTCAGTGCTGGCATCGCCGATGGGCAGCAGCTGCAAGTACAGATTCGCACTAGGGTCCTTTTGGGTCTTGGGCCTCAAAAGGAGGAGGGGGCAGCGGCGGCGGCAGCAGAGCTGGGCACTAAGAAGTGGGGAAGGGCGCGTGTGAGCAGTGAGGGAAACGCGAAGCAGGTAAAGGCTGGCCGGTGGGAAAATTGTCTTCCATGAAACTGGTCTCTGGTGCCAAAAAGGTTGGGGACCACTGGCCTACACCAGCCCAAGATCTGAATGAACCTATACATGCACAAGCGATATAGGCTTGGTTTGTGCAACAGCAGACCTTGCTCATTTAACATACCTGGTTTGGAGGACAAAGCCTATCTCTGAACGATTTGTACTTACATTGGTTCCTTTGTACCTTCTGCAAAATACATATATGGGGTTGTGTGGGACCAGCATCTCTTCCAGAAGCCATCTGCTAAAAAGCCACTGAGACAAAGTACAACAGTTAACAATAATTTTAAAATTACAATAATAACAAGAAGATGCCTTCCATAAACCCTACAATAAGGAAGGAGGTACCTTAAAGGAAACCATTTCAGATTCTTGAAGGCTGCCAAAAGATACGAGCAACTTCTTTCATTAATACTGGCTTGCCTCTGTTGCAGCAGGTAAAGGCCTGGCTTCATGAACAGCTTGCTTCACTGAGCTCCCATCCCTTTTGTGCATCTCTCCAGCCTGTTCTATTACTTTGCATGCTGTGATTTTCCTATTAGCTCTGTTTGTCTAAGCAGGCCTAGTTTTTTTGGATTTCCAGAGATATAAGCAATTAGTAGAAAAGACCACTGAAGCTACTATTATTTACCATATTCAGTTAAGATCTTTCCTGGAGGAACTAGTGAAAGGCTCATGGCCTTACACACTTAGCCCCTTGGCCACAGTCCAGCCTGGAGTCCACGTGGGGTCTTGGGCATGCAAGCATGTGCTCGATCAGCTGACTCCTTCTTTCTCAGGTTGCATGGGCTGAGTATGGTATCCAGATTAAATAACCTGAAATAACTAATTTTCCCCAGAAAAAATTCATGTAAGTTTTTATAGTTGTTGGGAATAATTCCTGTGGCCTGTTCTGTTAGGTAGAACTTTAGAGAAAGTCAACCCATATAGAAAAAATAGAAATCTTTTAGAGTGTAAAGCAGAATGTGTGACATGTAGCAGCATCAATCATGGGAATAATAATTTACATTCTCTTTGCTGGAAAAATCGATGAATTTTCAATGTCAGAGAGTTTCAGTGACCACTAGGTGACACTGTTGAACTAGTTTTAGAGCCTTCTTTTATTGACAGAGTATATACAAAAGTAGTTTGATCTTCATGTTTAATTATCTATATTTCATCTACTCTGACGAATTCCAGCTGCCCTTTCCCTCCAGCTTTTCTAAGATATACTATTTCTTTCCCATAAATCATATTTATATGCATTTACAATGCATACTGTTCACTGCCTGCATCTAATCATTTAATTTTGGCACTTGCAAAAATGAAAAATTGGGAAAAGTGGACTTGCAGTTGGAATGGAGAGGAAAAGAACCTTCTTACAACCCTTTTCCCTATCACAGACTGAAAAACAAAGCAGATGGGATAATAATCTTTCATCCCAGCATAATCAGTGAATTGCTTGTCTTGCTGGGAAGATGCGCAGAAGACTGGAGTACAGAGAGGCAAGGATCTGTCGATCTTGGTCATCTTCCCCTTGCTGTGAGCACTTTAGCTTGAACATTTGAAGCACAGGACAGGAAGCCAGGACAAAAATATAGTACCATTAAAATAACAATGAAAGATTCATTTTACTCTATCTTTCTTGTATCATCACATGTTGAAACTACACTCATCATAGCTGTCTTGAATCAGATCAACTACTTACTGATACCTCCATGTACATTACTATATATGGGTACTGGGGGGTGAGTGGGGGGAAATAAGACTCATTGAACATTGTAATACTTGTAGATATGTGCCATCTAGTCATATGGCACATATGGCTTCAATTTATGGCCACCCTATGAACGAAAGCTGTCCTTGACAGCCCTGCTCAGTTCTTCTAAATTCAAGACTGTGGGTTCCTTTATGTGTCCATCCCATATGTGGTCTTCATTTTCTGCCTTCATTTTGCTTCTAGGGTTGATTTGATCTAGGACCCACTTGTGCATTTTTCTGTTGGTCCAGGGTATTCACAAAGCTCTCCTCCAGCATGAGTAGTACTTGCTTCTACATAAATACAGATCGGATTACGCACTGTAAGGGAGCAATCTTATGGACCACACTTTTGTTTGATGGAAGCCAGCAGGGTGGGAGGAGGAAGGAGGTGGGTTCTGGCTTTTTGTGTTTGCTTAGTTTTTTCTCTTTTTGTCCTTTTTACATTTCCCCTTCAAAATAGGCCTTTGATCCCATCTACAAGAGCTGTGCTGGTGGCGGTGGAGAGGTTGTAGTATTTCCTAATCTTGCTCTCTCTCTTCCACTTCCCACCCATCAGAACATCCCCCTTCAGTCCTTTCTGAGGTCCTCCAAGGCCAGTTCTGCTCTCCCAGAGGCAGCAGGTGCAGTTCTTTGCATGATATTGTGAAAGGTGGGGTGGGAGAAGGGGTCACGTGCTGGAGTCTCCCTTCCAAGTTCCTAGCAATGTCCGCAGCCTCACGGGGGGCACTCCAAAGAGTCCTGTGATCCCCAGGATGCTCTCCCAGGATGATTAGATGGTTTTCTCTGACTTCTCTGTGTTCACTGACCTGGGAGTCTCATTTAACCTTATGAAACTTATTTCTGAATATTAATGCATAGGATTGCACTGTAAATTAGGTAACAAACATTTTGGCTTGTTGTACAGGTGCATTAAAAGATATGCTTATATAGAGTACTTTAGTACTTCCCACCCTTTTCTAGACCAATTGTAAGAATTTTCATTCAATTTTTTTTCATGAATAAAGACGTCAGAGGAATCACAATGACCTTGTAAAGTTCAGTGTTTGACCTCAAAGGAAGTGTTCACTGCATTGTGATAGCATCTACTGCTCCCTTCTTTGAAAATACACTGACAACAAAGTTACACTGAGCCACTGTAGGGACTAACCAAACATTAAGGGACCCATGTTTTCCAAATCATACATTACCCTAATTCATTTTCAACTCTGTTAAAGAATCTTCCTGACAGTTAGGACCCCGGGGGTATGGAATGGGCTTCCACGGGAGGTGGTTGAAGCTCCATTGGTGAGGGTGTTCAAGGATAGGCTGGACGTCCACATGGTGGGCATGTCGTGAGCGGAGCCAGCTGGAGCTGGGGGTCAGACTAGATGGCCTGGGAGGCTCCTTCTGACTTGCTCAGTGCTTCTATGGCTGCTTCAAGTCCACATTTTCAAAATGTGAAAAAACAGGAGCTTTGAATTGGCCTCTCCTCCTCCTCCTCCAAACAACAAAGCCCCTGAACTGGAGATGAAAAACATTTAAGACTGTATTTTGAAAGTTTGAGAAATCTTTAAGTAAGTGGAAGTAAGAACTTTCAGAAGTTACATTAAACAAAATTAAGTACACAAAACTTGAATTATTAGATAATGTTAACTAGTCACATGCACCAGTTTTGTGTTCCAATTACCTTCCAGTTAAATTTAGGAGTGAGTGTATAAGCAATGAGTTATTATGCATAAAACTTGCACTAGACTCTCCCAAGGGTAATGTAGCTTCTCATAAAACTTTGCTCTAAGTAACATATTCTGAGTGGTTAGAGTACGTACTGTAGAAACAGAAAAAAGAGCTATATTAAGATAGGAATATATAGCTGTTGATGGCATTGTTTTGATAACTGGGATGCCAATTAAATATAAGATGACATTAGAAAGAAATTATTTTGCCTGAGGGCTAGGATATAAATCTAGGGTAAAATTTCTGCTCACTTTTAACAGCAGAAGGAAGCCTCAGGGCTTCAAATGGTTCTAATAATATGATAATATCAGATACGGTATCACAGCCATACAGCTGCATCATAATCTTGATTTCTCCAAGAGCCTAAGGGCAAAAATCTGTTGTTTAATTAGGGATGTCCCTTGAGTTTAGGATTAGAGTTTTCATTCCACAATGAAATTCAGAAGTATATTTTTGGATCTTCAGTATATATACAAAACTGTGACTGAACTGGGATGGGATGGGCGATTCCATTTACTTGGTTCATAGCTTAGATGATATTGGTCCATCCATTTGGTGAAGTCTACACTGACTGACACAGGCTCTCCAAAGGTCTGTACTGGAGTCTTTCCCAGCATTATCCAGATATTCCCAAACTCATGAACCCTGGACTTCTGTATATAAATCATGTGCTCTTTCAATTGGCTCCCTTATACAAAAGAAGGATCCTCTTACCCACTGAACTACCAGGACCAATGGAATAACATGTCTGGTTTCTATATTCCTTTTAAATGTCCCTCCACCTCCATGAGTCTTGAATTTCCAGCTTTGGGATTAATAGGAAAGCATCCTTCCCTATGGAATCACTAGGCCTAATACTATCAGGGGCGCTTGAAGAAAAAGTCTTGACATGAAAATGCCTTGCAGGGAACTTTAAGAAATTTATTTATCCATGTTCAGACAGTTCAACTAGGTTGAGTGTCTTTATTTGGACAGGAAGACTAGTAAATATGTTTTTCATTGGTCAAGACTCTGCCTAATTGATTAATTAAGTAAAATAAATTTGAACATTACCAAACTTTAATAAATACTCTTTGTTCATAGTCTTGTAGAAAGTGTAAGGTAACTTACAATTTAATAAGCAAAAATTACTGTTTGAAAGAAGAGTGGTCTTTGTTTTTTATTTTGCAGTCCCAATTACAGTCGCATACCAGAAGAATGAGGCTGCCCACGGTGTGCTTGATTTTTACTTACATTGCTAGTTAGAGTTGGCACTGATGTGGCATTTTGGGAAGGCTGCAAGTGCTTCCAAACGACGCTTTTCCAACAGTGGGCTAATTTCTCTTTAAAGGAGGGGGGCCATCTTTTCTCAACTCCTCCAATATGGTCAATGTCTGGCTAGTTCCAAATTTCCCAATTTTGGGAAGAGGTGCTTGAGTAGGTGCTGACAGATAGGCTTCAGAGATTCAGTTTGCTTTCTGACTGGCTTGATGACCAAGAATGGTTTATGAAATGGGAGTAGGCAAGAGGTGGTCTTCAAATATCCAGTGCCCAAGTAGCTTAGGTCTGTAAAGCTTAACACAAACCCAGAAACTGACAGGCAGTGAAAATTATTCTTTACATAATGGTAACATGCATCCTATGCAAAGAGCCCCAGTCAGTCATGGGACCACCATGTTCTGTACCAGTTGTGTTCCTAATGCTCTTCAGAAGCAGCTCCCCATATAGCACAATAATCTAGCCTGGGTGCTACTAGAATGACTAGCTGTGGTTTCAGCCCCACCACTGGATGCACCACCAACCCCACCCCTACATAATCATGTCTTTCCAAGGATGTCTGCAGAAAAGAAGCCAACATGTGAAAAGTTGCTCCTGCTGAGCCATCCTCCTTGTGGATGTATATGCCAAAACTCGGGGAAGGACCAGTTGCTTGCCCTGTGCTGGGGACGTGGCCAGCAATGCAGCCTAGCATCACATGAACGTGGTAAAACATGTGAAGGGAGTTCAAGCGCTGAGTGCCACCCACATACCAATTGCAATATTTCAGTTTCAAATCATCAGCCAAATAATTTAATGTAGATGATCAGTAGCATGGGGAGGAAGAAATATGCCATGGTGTCAGACTAAAGCTGTCTTGCACCATCTTCTGGATCAAGAAGGAGAAGAGCTTTTGAAGAACAGGGCCTCAATCCCCATTTTGGGCAGGGGGTCCTAAAGGATGCCATAAGCCAGGAGTGGAGGAACACATGGGTGTGGAATGACCTTTGCAGGTTGGATGGTTTGGGAGGATTTCAGTATCCCCAGTGTCGAGAGCTGTGGACTTTCCCCTGGAAGAGCAAAGGCAGCTTTGAAGACCTAATGTGCAGCTTCTGTGAGCTCATTTAGCCTGTGGGCTGGAGGGTCCCCATCCTTGCCTAATTCTGTGATTTCAAATGCTGCTAATAGTTCCAGGCAATGGAAGCCTGTGGCTGCCATGTCTGTGGGCTGAGGTGCCCATTCTGGATTATAGTCTGAACTTTTAAGAAGACCTTTTTATTTAAAAGTTATTTTAACTCTTAATTTATTATTATTGTATTTATAGATTTTAATATATAGCCGAGATGGTACCAGTTTTTAAATTATTGATTGTATTTTTATGTTTATGGATGTTGTGAGCCACCTCGAGGCTTTGTTGCAATGGGGGCGGCATAGAAATGTTTTAAATAAATAAATCCATGGTGCTGTATGGTTTTGGGGGATAGGAATTAGCACCCTGGACAACTCCTTTGAACTTCAGACTGAAACCTGGTGTGCATATATTGCTCCACTGATATTGGAGCCACTAGCCTTCACTGAGTCCAGGACAATTAACAAGATACCTGACCCAGTCACTTTCCTGGCATGCATCATCCACCAGTTTGACATTTGGGATCTGCTTCAGGGACTCTCTCAAGGTACTCCTAAGATGTGGATGCCTTCAAAAGATACGTGGATGAGAACTGGAAACTCTGAAATTTCCTTCCCAGGCATATGCACCATTAAAAATCAATCTCATATGTATATATTTAGATGTAAACCCCAGTGCATTCAACAGGAGTTAATCCTAGATCATCGTGCATTGTATTGAAGCCATAAGCACCAGGTATCCCCCATCCTTTGAATGACTTTAAATGTTTAAGTTGTTTTAATACTCATTGTGTGGCTTCTTGGTATCTTACATATTTTTACAAGCTTTTCAAAGTGGGCATTTTTTAATCCACTGCTTTTATATATGTTTTGGGTTTTTCATTGTTATTTTTTATTTTATTATTTTGAATTCTATTTTTCTTAGATGCCTTTTAGGCCTTGGTAATACCTTGGAGTCAGCAGGGGGTTGGACCCAATGGCCCATCTAACCCCACTATTCTATGAACTAAATTCTGGGACTCTTAATTCCAGCCTGTAACAGAAATTAAGCCAAGCCTGAATTAAACCTAGCTTCCCCTTTAAGTAATTGCAATCATGTACTTTATTTTTAAATTGGTGCTACTTGCCCAAGAAAGGTATTGAATAATTTGTAAATTTGTTTAAAATAAAATTAGAACATAAAGAGAGGAAGACCTGTTAAAATGTATTTCATCTACAGTTACAGTTGTGTCATCTTTGACTTGTTTTAGATTTAGAGCAATTGGTCATGGAACATCTCACTGCTCAGAAAGTGTAACAAACTAATTTTCCCTGAATAAATTGGAATGCAAGTCATGTACATCATCTGCCTGTGAATCATAGATCCTGTCAGACTGATGTAATAGTGGCAGCTTTGTATACTATTTTTCAAATGGGCAAACATGTAAAGATAATTAAAACTGATACCTGGATGTGTTAACTGTTGGAAAGCACTGAGAAAAGTACGATTGGGTGGTAAATGATGCTTCGGTTTGTTCTGTAGCAGAGTCTGACTTTCCAGTGCACTTTCTGTGAAACACCAAAGGCCTTTCATTGATTTCTCTTCCCCACCCACTGATATCTGCACTAGAGGTACTTTCAACTCTGTCCTGTGGAGTTGCTCTTTCCCTTTTTACGGTTAGGGGCAAGGAGAGAGCCATCCATATCAGGTCACTGGAATGTGTGCCTGGGTGCAAACACGCAGGCGTGTGTGCAACCCCCAAGCCCACATCACATATGGCTTGAACACCCTTGCTCTAGAAAAATATCTGGAGCACATTTTACAACTTGCTGCTGTTACCCAGTCTCCATCTTGGCCCACACTAAGATTGCCCCATAGTAATTATCCCAGTGGAGAGCCCTTGGGTGATGTGTGCAGGCACCGTGTGGAAAGACAAGTGGGGTGGGATGGGGTAGCTAAGAGTACAGGGCTGCGAACAAGACCACCTCTCCTCCAGCTTTTGGGCTCCAGTTCTTCTATGTTGTCTTTTGAAGTATGTGATAGTTTATTGATACATATCCAGCATTTGAAAGCTGACTTTCTGGGCTTAGGTGCAGACACAATGCTCTTTTCCCCTACTTTTTTGATGGTGCTTCTGCACTGGTAGGGCATCTTGCTGTATCATCCTTGTTCCCTGCATTGCCATTTGGCTGATGCCTTGTATGTTTGTGATAGCTACTCAATTGATAGCCCGTCAGAAGCCTCTAAGCAGAAGGGAGAGCCATACATAAATTTTAATTGAGCATCAACAGGAAATTGCTTTTGATCATTGCCACCCAACACTGCATTTGATTGACAAGAATCTGACAGCTACTGACCCGAGTAATCTAATCTCACCCAAATTAAAACAAAAAGCCTTCCCATTTATTCATTTATTTTCAAAATGAATGGTCCCATATGGTGTAACTGTGTGTAGAACAGAGAAGCAACTGAGAAAATGCTTTTGATTTTCTGCTAATTGCAGTGAGCACCATTCTTTACAGGAAAGAACAGGAACAAACGAATGAACGGTCTCTGTGGAGTGTTAAATCCATTGTCCCCAAAAATGGATCAGTAAGGCACTGCTGAAATGTCTACCATTTTAAACATACATTTATGAAATTCATGCCTTTGCATTCTATGTCTGACATGGCCATAGCCTGTGATTTTGCCTTTCTCTTTTAAAAAATGGCATAATTGGAGTTTATAGGGTCTAGCCAAGTTCCAGCAAAATCCTTCAGCAAGGATTAGCCTTGTCCTGGTTAAAATTAATTTCAGCAGCATTACACACAGCTGATCTTATCTGCGCTTGTCCATAAAGAATCCTCAGTGAGGCTCAAGGAACTGTAAGAAGAAAGAGCAGAGGGGAAGTTGCTCCCCTAGCACTTACCCTCTGGACACATGACTGAGCAGGCACGCTGGTCGCCTGGCCACAGGCTTTTCCTTTATGTTGTATTTCTATTTAAAGTACTGTAATGATGTCTAATGCATATGCACATTTTATGGAAAAGAGTGCCCTCCTTTGCATTATTTATTTGACTGTGCATTTCCTTTTGAAGAAACTACCCTAGCTGCTCTGCTTAATACTTCACCACTGCTAAAACACTTTGCCAGGCTTAGACATGGCTTCGTAGTCTCTCTACAAAGATCTTCTCCGAAGCACCCCAGTGCTGCAGTCTCTGAGACATAACACAGATAATAGTGATCCTTGATAGTTTTCTAGGATGCCAGCACCAGAATAAGATCTCTGTTCGACATCAGTTTAGCGGCTTGGCAAAACTGTTGTCTTTTTAAAAGTATTAAGTCCAGCCTTTCCTGTCTTTGTCTTTATACTAAATTGTCTTAACTGCCTTTTCACATCTCCCAGTTACTCTAAGATGAGGCTGCCTCTGTTTTGTTGCTGGAGACTATCCACAGGAGACATGAACCAGTATGGTGTAGTGGTTAAGAGGATGGGACTGGGACTCAAGCGATCTGGGTTCTAGTTTCTGCTCAGCGATGGAGGCAGCTGCGTGACTTTGGGCCAGGCACAGACTCTCGGCCCAACCTACCTCAGGGTTGTTATTGTTGTGGGAATAAGGTTGAAAGCAGCAGCAGGAGAATGATGTAAGTTCTTAAAAAAAACTGGATAGAGAAATCTAATAAACAAATCAGCTCATTTCCAGCTGCTTTTTTGTAATTCTCCTTCCTCCTCTTCCTCTTTGCTGCTCCAGCAAGGCTTTCTGTGTTTGGTTCTGACTTCAGCTCTACCAGGGCTTGTCCTTAGTATAGCTTGACCCTCTCTTCCAGGGTCCCTCCCTTGACACGCTCCCCAGAGAAGTCCGCCTGGTGCCAACGCTTCTTTCCTTTCGGTGTCAGGTAAAACCCTTTTTATTCTCCCAGTATTTTAATTGTTAACTTGTTTTAGTTAGCGGGTTTATATTTTAACATTGGATGCTGGGCAACTGTTATTTTTATTTCTGTTTTTAAGATTAATCTGTTGTAAACCATTCTGAGACGTCTAAGTATGGGACGGTATAGAAAAGTTTTAAATAAGTAAGTAAAAGCCAAGTGACTGTTCAGACTTCCCATCTCATCTTTTCTCTCATAGGGTTTCTACCCATTTCCCTTCCAGTTTCCTTTCAGTATTTCCATCTTCTGACTTCTGCATTAACTATCATAGCTCTCCTTACCTTGCATTGTGCTGATTTGTGGCGTTATAGTAGCCTCTGCTCCAAGGTTGATTAATGTTACTATATGTAATAATGTTAGGAGCCTAAAATTAAGTTAAGAGTGCAGATGATGAACCTGAAGCCCACAAGACCCTGAGGCACAACAATAGTTCTTCTGAAGCATATGGTGAAGGTAGAGTGGACACATTCGTGTTTGATTTTATGTCAAATTCCCAGCCCCAGACAGCAATGAAATTGTATAATTCTACTGGATCATACCTCCACCTAGAGGTTATGCAGTGAAAAGTATGGGAAAGGACAATTAAAAAAAAACTTTTTGCAGAGATCTGAGATTAATTCTGCAAAGAGTCTGGAAGTAAAGCAGCAGTTTAAACAACCTTGCATAGAAAAGCCCTAAAGTGCCAGGTGGCTTGTCCTGTAGTTCCTCATAGAACATCTAGTGGTTTCAAGTCAGAAGTACAAGTAATTTGTCTGTAATGAGGAAACGAGGCAAGACAAGGAAATGCTTTGCAATGAGATTGCGTTGTGAGCTTGCAACCTGTCTGGAGTTTCCTTTATCAGGTAGAACAAGATACATATAACCTGTTCTACCACATCAACTATTCAAGGGGCTACTTTCGGTACAGGCTGGAGCAGGAGGGGCACTGTATGAAGGGCTCCATAAATTCTGGGGTAGAACCGTACCGTTCATGAGCAGAGACACGTGGCGGCCCAAGCGTAGTCCATCTCCTTTGGAACTGGGCCACTCTCATGTCTGGTGGCCAGGTTTGACAGCGGAAGGCTCACTAAAAGCAGACGCAGTTTACTTTCTTTCCCATGGGAAAGAAAACAATAGAGAAGACACCACAGGGGTCTACTTAGTCTACTGAGATAGGGGACAAGATCTGCACAACCCTCCCTTGACAATCTAAGTTTTATTTTGGAGGTGGGGAAGAACAGATTATGGAAAAATTATAAGCATAAAAATTATAACGCTGTTGGACCATGGATTTGCAGCATCTAAAATGAATAAATAACTAAACAAAGCACTGTGGTGAACTATCACCTGCAGTTCAGGTTCACATGCCCTAGGAAAAGGCGATAGAAAGTTCTCTGCAACATGCAGCTCTTCCTGCATTAGGGGTATTTAGCTCACAGGTGAAATGGCTGTTATATGGAGCACAAGGGATTTGGTGTGCTCTCATATAACCAAGGAAACCATCCAACAGATCTTCCCAGAGCAGCTTTCTCCCTCTGGCTTGCTCTGGAAGGATCCTGCCCTCAGTGGCCAACTGTGGGGCTTACTCTGACTGACCAGGTTCGTTGTGGACTTCTCAACATGGTCATCAGGACCACAAGCAGGAAGCAACTCAGACCAGTTGAAGGAAACGTTCACTGTACTGATTCATTAGCCTTGCACAGTAATTATGTGTTGAACTCCACATTAATGTATTTATTTATTATATTTTAAGCCCACCCTTTCCTTCCATGGTGCTCATATCTCTCTGTTCATTCTTACCCTCACAACAACAAACCTGTGAGGTGGGTTATGCTGAAAGTCCGTGATTAGTCCAAAGTCAGCTCCATGGCTGAGTGAGGACTAGAACCAGATCTCCCAGATCCCAGTCCCACACTCTGCAACCACTTCACCACACTGGCAATCTGCACTGAGTTGCATTGTGTTGTAGTGAGTTGCAATCCAAATTGCAGGAGGTGTGTGAAAGAACCATTAGTCAGAAACATAAGGTTTAAAATCAGGAAACTACAGTCTTTTGGACTTGACCCTAAAATTATTTGTTAAGTTGCACATATACTTGATACATTCCCATTCCTTAAAGACAACAATAGCCATTCTTTTCAGTTTACCACTTGACTTTTAATGATAAACAGAAATAATTCACTTGACCTTTAGTCCATGGCAGGCATTCCTGCTGATGATCTGCTTGATACTCTCTCCCTTCTTCTTCTCAGCGTATCAGGGACTGAAGATGATACATCTGGGATCTTTGTACCACTGTCGCAAATCTTTACTGTAAATTTCATCCTTTGGGCAATCAAGACACAACAAATCAGAACAACAGCAAGGACAAAAAGGGAGATGAATGCATCATGGAACAAGAAATCTGAACAAAGTATTTTGGGTGTAGAACAGGAAGGAAGTTCACTCCTTTTCAGTGCAGATATGGACGTTCCATGAAGCAAAGAAGGAGTGAAACACTTAATGTCACTGATGTCACTGCTTCCCACTTGGTCTTCCAACCAGTTTTTCAAGTACAGAATCCCACAGTCGCAGTGCCATAGATTGCTTGATAAATTGATGATGTTCAACATTTGAAGGTTATCAAACGCTCCTGCAGGTATTGTTTCCAGTTTGTTGCCCTGGAGATACAGTTCTTGTGTTGAATCAGGTAGAAGTGGAAGTGTTGTCAGCTCTCTGAAGCTACAGTTCACTCTTACTGGTTTGTGATCTGGTGGAAAGCACACACAGTGGTGAGAACAGGAGTTTGCAGAAATGGCTTCAAGGAACAGAAGTATCAGTAATCCTCGACATGTGACCATTCTGAAAGTTGAAATCAAGGTGTCAGTGCAAAGAAATGTCAGTGCAATTTCATGAACATGGACCATTTTACAGTACTTTACAAGACAAACCTTCTCAAAAATTGTAATTCCAACAGCTAATCCTTCTCACCCCAATTTTGTATAGTGGGATCTATTGTTCCCCTTCCCCTTGAAACAAACCTCCAGTTGTGACTGACTCTGACATTATAGATTTCCTACACTTCCATGACAGAAGCACCATGATTGCATATAGATATTTTTATGACATGATTATACGTGTATGTGGCTCATGTAAACAATTCCATGAAAGTCTCGTGGACATAAGCTTACACTGTTCTGATGTAGAAGCATCTTTCATGTAGGAAATCTATAATTGGTGCCTGAGGAACCTTGCAGAAGGGGAAGAATACTTTGAAAATACCCATGCATTCCTTATTGTGGAAGGCCATCACTGACACACCAGGCTAAAGGTGCAATTCCATGCATATTCAGACAAAGAAAGGGTCTACAGTTCCCAGCATGCCCAAGCCAACAGAGGAATGCTTTGAAATTATGACTATTATTTGTAGCCGCGTACACGGCAACCATTGCTTTTGTTCCAAAATTTAGAATACATTCTAAAAAAGTCTTGCATTCTCATGCTCAGTTTTCTGAAGCTGGGCTAATTGTATCACCATACAAGCCACAGTAAAAACTGCAAAGTTTTTTTTTCCTAAAAACTTTTCTTTGTTATAAATGTGCTTCAGTTAGGAAACCCTAATGCTCAGCTGGGTTCTTGCATTTTTAAAACACTAGCAACTCTGTGTGACCCTAAAACTCAATTCTAACTCTAAAACCCATGCTAAAGAGACCTTGCTTTTCTTGTGCCGAGTGTTATTGACTCTTGTCTTCACTTCAGGCCAATCATTCCCTCTCAGCCTAATCCTCCACACAGGGTGTTGTGCAGATAAAATGGAGCTTTTAAGCTACCTTGGGTTCCTGACAAGAGAGAAAAAACATGCAGTGTAATAATATATATGGAATGTAACAACAACAATAATGTACACCTATCTACATTATGAACCCACTCCCTAGGGTTGTGCACCTGGCGTCAACTCTATATATTCCAGCACCAGGTCAAAAACGTTTTATTTTCCCGGCATTTTCATTGTTTAAAATTGCTATTTGATTTTATATTAGCTTCTATCTATATGCTGATAGGCACTTTGCAAATTGGTTTTACCTTTGTACTGTGTATTATTATTTCTATTTATTGTCATTGTTAGTTATGATGTTATGCTTCAACTGAATATTAATTGCCCTGTTAACATGAATGCATGTATATTATGTTTTATAAGGGTTGGGATAGAAGCCAAAAAATGTCTATCTTTCTATCTTCCCATGAATTAATACTTTGTTGAAGCTCACAGTAAAGATAATTGTAGTTCTCTAAAACAATAAATTTTCCAATCACTTGAATCAATTATAAATCATCAGCAAAGTTTTAACAAGCTTCCTTTTGTTTTGTATTAATTAAACTGCATATAATAGAATTTCTGTTTATCATTCAATTCTTCAATCAGTCTCCTGTTTACATAATTTGTTAATTTTGCCATCACTGCATAATCAGCCAACTGAGTTTTCCAGTCTTCAATTGCTGGACATTCTGCTGTTTTCTATTTAGAAGTAAATGTAATTCTTGCTGTACGTAGTTGTCATATATTTAAATAACACTAATATGTTCTTGGAAAAATTATCTGGCATTATATTCAAAAGCAAATTCTTTGGACTCATAGAAAAGTTGATTTTAAAGGTTTTTTATATTTCTGCATGCATCAACTTCTAAAATCTTTTAATTTCATCACAAGTCCACCATATATGGTGGAAAGTCCAAAATCTTATAATTTTGTCACAAGTCCACCATATATGGTGAAAAGTCTCATCTACCATCTACTTGTTACATTTCCAATTGTTTCCATTATAATTCTTGTCCATTTTTTCTATATCTTTCAGAGTAATATATCACTGAAAATGCATCTTATACCAATTTTCTTTTAGTGCTTGACTGGCTGGGAATTTAGTGTCTTTTTTCCATACAGCTTCTCATTGATGGGATTATATTTCTTCAACAAAGTTTTGTGTCCAAAATATCATACATTTCTTAACTTGCTTTGTTTCAGGGTCAAATTGGAGCAATTACTTGTGAACTCTTCTTAAAGATTATCCTTCCGTTGCAGAAATCGGCTTTTCAAATTCCCTGAAGGGATTTCCTCTTTCAGTCATGGAACCAATTGGTAATAAACAAGCCATTCTATATTTTCCCTTCATCTTTTACTTGTTGCCAAGACTTAACTCATCCTTGTTGGTCAATCATATCCCCACAGGTTTTGTTGCTTTTCCTGAAATAGTGTACATGTGCTTCAACAAGGGACATCAAAGGAGAAATCAAAGGGTTAATTCTTCTTATAGCGTACCAACTTTTTATTAAGCCATCTCTTAGTACATGATTATTATTTGATGTCAAGTCCTTTTTAACTGACTCTTTGGTCCATAAATAATTATGTATTCCTTCTTCAAGATCTGCTATTTCTAGCTTCACTAACCTTTCATTAACATTTGTAATCCAGTCTGAAATCCAAACCAAGCCAGCTGTGTAATAATATAGCTTTAAATTAGGTACTGTAAGACCTCCTCTCTCTTTTTCATCTTGAAGAATTTTAAATCTAATCCTTGGGGTTTTTTACCATTCCAAAAAAGTAAAAAAAAAGTGTTTAGGTGACTTTGCCACTCTTGGAGAGTTTTTCCCAGTATAGAAATTGATATCACCTGAAATTTAAAAAAATCAATTTAGGTAGTACATTCATTTTTATAATAGAAATTCTTTTCAATCATGATACTTTTAATTTGAAGTTATTTCACATCCTGAGATCTTTTCTATACTTTCCTCTTCCTGTTTCATTGCAAACTTTAATATAATTTTCATTTTCTTCTTATTGATCTTATAGCCTGAATAAAATCCTAATTTTTCAATTTGGTCTATTATATATTGTATAGGTTGGTGTGGATTTCAAATGTTCAAGACTATGTCATCAGCATAGCATTTCATTTTGTATTTCTGTCCATCTACTTTTAAGACTTTAATTTTTGGGGTCTTGTCTTATTTTTGTTGCTAAAATTTCCAATACAAGAATAAACAAAATAGGCAGGAAAGGACATCCTTTATGTGTTACCTTTTTCATTTGAAAGCTGTCCACACTCTGTTAATTAAAATCGTAGCATGTTGTTTAGTGTAAATTGCTTGAATCTGATTCATAAAACTTGAACCACAGCCCAAATATTGATGAGTTTTCAATAAAAAGGGTCAAGGCATGTGGTCAAAAGCCTTTTCCACATCTAGAAAAATAAATGCTGCCTCCTCCTCCTCCTCCTCCTCTTCTTTCAATTCTACTACATCGATCACAAAACAAACATCGTTCATAAATCTTTTTGGAACAAATCCTGTCTGATCTATATGAATCTGCTTTTCTATACATTGTCTTATTCTTTCTGTCATGAGTGAAGAAAAACATTTGTGATCCACAATTAATAGTAAGATAGGTTGGTAAGAATGTAACAAGGTGGGATTGTTTCCTTCTTTGTATATCAGTGTTATATGAGCTTCCTGCCATGTTGGTGGTAATAGTTGCTCTTCTTTAATCTTATTCATTACTTGTTGCAGTATTTTCCTCTAAGCATTTGTAGTATGTAACAGTGAATCCATCTGGCCTAGGTGCTCTATCTTTTTTTAAAAATTTCTGATAGCTTGTGATAATTCTTGAATATTGATGGTATTATTCAATATTTTCCTGTAATTCATATGTAAACTTTGCAAAATATGTTTCTTCTATATACTGCTCCATTCCAGCTTTTGAAGTTAGTACTTTTAAATATAAATTTGAAAAAACCCCAAAAACTGGTGAACTGGTCATGAATTTCCTTTTCCATGTATGTAATTTCATTGTCTTTTTTCACCCCGTTATAAATCTTCCATTTCTCTTTCATTTCACTTTTGAAAAACTACACTAAGTATCTTCAAGGTTTATTTGCATGTTCAAAATATTTCTGTTTTAAAAATCTCAACTTTTTTGTGTCTCTTCTATCTCTATCATGTCTAGTTGATTTCTTAGTTGTCTAAGTTCAATTAAAGTTGATTTGTCTTGTACTTTCTTATATTTCTTTTCTAATATTTGTACTCATTCCAGAAGCTTTTTAATTTGTTCTGATTTTTCTCTCTTTTTCTTTGACATTTTTGTTAAAAAATATCCTCTCAGATATGCTTTACTAACTTCCCATATTGTTGCTGTAGGGACATCACTTCCATTATTTAATCTAAAAAATTTTTCCAATTCTTTTTCAGATTTCTTCAAAATATCTTCTTGTAATAAAAGATTATCATTCAATATTAATGGAATGAACTCCCCCTCCAGGCTAAGTTTTTATTTTTTAAGGAAAAAAGGGCAGATATAATATGTATTCAAGGAACCGCATAAAGAAAAAAAATTGCTCTTTTTTTGAATCATGAGAGATTGGACAAAGTATAGGAAGCCCTGGCTGATCAGAGAAAAGAAAGAAGTCACCATTTTTATTAATAACTAAGGCTAAAAGTTGTAGAAGAATAAAAGATGCAGAAGGAAGATAAGATTATTATTCTCAAGATAAGATTCTGAAATGGGAAGATACCGTATTTTTTGCTCTATTTTCCCCCCCTCAAAAGTAAGGGGAAATGTCTGTGTGTCTTATAGAGCGAATATGTGTGTGCAGTAAGTCTGTCAGATGTGCAGCCCATGGGGAAGTGATGGGGAATGTGCCTGTGATTATGTGCCCCTTTGATTCAGAATATTTTTTCTTGTTTTCCTCCTCTAAAAACTAGGTGCCTTTTATGGTCAGGCGTGTCTTATAGAGCGAAAAATACGGTAAATACATTGGCAATGATATATACTCCAAATGATGCAAAAGAAAGGTTTTATGAAAAGAAATTCAATCAGTATTGGATTTTCAAGAAGGAGACATTTTGATTCTTGGTGGTATGAATGAAATTATAGATCCTAACAAGGGGAAGTCTAAAAAAGCAAAAGGGAGTAAACTCCCTAAACATGTTATTAATTATATGGAAATATGACACCTGGAGATGCATGGAGATTTAAAAATCCCCGAGTTAGAGACTATACTTTTTTCTCTGATAGATGTCAGACATACTCAAGGATTGATATGTGCTAGATGTCCAAAAATCTAATTATGAACTTAGAGACTGTAAAGATGCAGCCCAAGATACTCTCTGATCATAGTCCATTAGAAATAATTTGGTGAGAAGAACAAGTGGGAGGAAGAAGATGGAGATTGAATGGTATATTATGCTTTTAGATGGTTATAACATTTTGTACACTGCTCTGAGAGCTTTTGCTAATTGAACAGTTTACAAAAAACCTTACACAATAGATAAATAAATGTCTGAGTTACTTTCAGCCATGAAGGCAAATAACCAGTGGTTAGACTGTAACAAATAAAATGTTTATAAACATAATTTTGAAAACTAAACTTCAAGAAACTGAAAACATTAAAGTCATTTCCTGAATTTCAATGAGTCATGTGAGTGTACTTAGAAGCATGCATCCTGTGAGTAAAATACTGTCCATTTACTCTGCCTGTGCTACATGTACTGCTACAAGCAACTGTCCCAGGTGCAAGGCAGCAGATGCTTGGACTAGTGAGCAGGGCATGCGTTCTGATAGGTCCAGAATCAGTCAACAAGAGCAAGAATGAAAAACCATACTAAGTGCTTTGCTAGACCAGACCAAGTCCACCAAGTCCAGCAATCAGGGGATTAGCTCCATCAGCCCCAGTTAGCATTGGTGATGTCCAGGGATGATGGGAGTGTGGTACAGGTAACTCATGGGCTTTGGCTAAGTACTAGAGCACCTGCTGTGAATGCAGATCCTCAGCAACACCAGACAGGGCTGGGAACAAATTCTGTGTGAAACCTGGAGAGCCCTTGCCAGTCAGTGTCAGCAACAATGGGTTAGATGGACCGATGTTCTGGTTAAGCATATGGCAGTTTTCTACATTTGTAACACCATCTGCCTGGCCAAACTTCCCCACCGTGGCCCTAAGCCCAGGTGGGGACTCGTACACTGCTTTTCCAATCCAGGTTAGCATACATAGACTGGAGTTGCCGGACATGCCAACCCATTGCGGGTTGCCTTCCACAGTCACTTGCCATGGAGACTGAGTCCCCCGGAGTGCCTTGTCCACAGGGAACAAAGCACCCCAACAACTAAACAGATGGTCTAGCAGTTGTTGTACCCACAGAAGTTGTAGAGCCGCCCAAATCCAGATGCCATCCCCATTGTGATCTATGACACAGCAAACAGTTATGGAGCCCCATGGCAAGAGCAGAAAAATACCCTGACAGACTTGCTGTGAGGCTCTCAGATGCCTGCCAGGGCCAACACTCCTCAAATACCCAAGCACAATCAAAAGGTTAATGTGATGATGGGTTAAGCCCACTGTAAACCCACAATGAGTTAGCATGACATACAAACAGGCCCATATTCCTGTCCCACAGTCCTTGCTCTTTTCTCCTGCCACAAAGACCACCGATTGCTCCTGGTTCAAGGACAGGCGAATGTCAGAGTGCAGCTCCACTCTCTCCTAGCAACCTTGAGCACCTTCCACCACATGCATATTATGTTTTTACACTGACTCGTTAGCTGTCCGTTAACCCAGTGTCTGTTACACAGGTTTGCAAGTGTGACTGCAACAAAATGTCACTGTGTGGAGTGCGGCTCTTCAGGATCCCGGCCCTTACATTCCCCTCACCTACCCTCCCACTTCCTTGCTCTCTCCACAGGGCCAGCCCTTCCAGTAGGCAGAGAGGGGGCATCGCTGCAAGAAGAAGATACAGCAGTGTGCAGGGAGCAGCAGTTGTGGCTCCCAGGCCGGCCCTGTCGGCTCCCAGGCCGGCCTCTGTCCTTTAATGAAGGACAGAGCTGCCTGTCCTATGCAGCCTGCCCTCCCTACACCCGCTCAAGATTGGTCAAGGATACTGTCCCAACCCTGGTGTTGAAGCAACATTCAACCGCAACTTCAGTCAGCTTCTGTGGGTGGAATGAAGGGAGCACCATCTAGGCATTCCTCTTGGGCAGCTGCCTGCCCCAAAAGCTAGTCACATTTACTAGCCTCAGAACTTGCTCTGTCCTCGACGGTCCCTCCTGAGGCACCATCCTGTGCACATTTAGACAGGGAAAGAACAGGCATGGATGGCTGAGGAACGTTAGGAGCTGTGGTACTTTTCTCCCTGTCCAAATAATCACTGGATCTTGCAGTTAGGTTTTTTCCTGAAAAGAATAGTTGTATTTTTGCAATTTTTGGATTGCTTCCAGGGCCACTTTTGTTCTTTATGGGTGGTACTGTTTTGGTTGCCTAAGCAACACTCACAGTCTTAACCTAAAAAATGGAATGACAGTTATGATTGGACTAAAATCTTTTGATTATACCCCACTACATTACATAGGGCCACTAATTCTTTTAATAACCAGAAGGATGCATCATCTGAAAGTATTGAGACACTCAGCATATATTAAACATTTTGCCATATAAAAAGTTTTTTGTGCAATGAAGAAGTTTAAAACAAACCACTTAAATATTTAGGCTTTAGTTTTACTACCATAGATTAGTGTTTCTGTGGTTCTTTTTTTCTCCTCTCTTTCTCTTTTTAGAAACATAAAAAGCACACACTTCTAAACACTTTAGCCACTAAGAAATGCCACTTACTTCAAGTCCAAAACACATGAAGAGACCAATCTGTTCACTGCTTGGCATTCTTTTATTTTAGATTTTAAATATCTGTGTTGATTTTCAGCAGGATTCACTGAGTGTTCCTCAGTACACGAGAAGATCTAGCTGGTTACCAAACCGCTTGGGAGGATTTTTCACACACCCCTTTGTGAAAGAGGCCTTTCTGCAAGTTCCATTTTAGATGGGTGACACAGTAATTTCTTGCTTCTTGTGGGCTATGACTAGGAGAACTGCAATCTATAGCTTATACTATGCAGCACCCTTGATTGGCTGCCTGGGAAGTGGCACGAAAGAACTGCCTGGTCTAGATAAGACACCAATACACACTCCATCTCCTGTTTGAGCTTGTTAACTCCCACCCTGGAAGGATTCCCTCAGATAAAAGTCAACTGGTTTCCCGCTGATAAGCAGAATTCTCCTTACTGGACATTCCGGTGCTCCTCACTGACTTCTGTAATATTCATCTGCATATATATTCCAAAAGTCATGCTTTTATGTCAGCCACAATGCACCATATTCAATTCCAGACTTTCAGAAACAGCTTCAAAATGCAGAAAACTTCTAAATTGTTAGTGGACTAGTCCTTTCAATATCTGAAAAATTCTGTGAAGACCAAGTCTCTAGCAATTAATACCTCTATTTCTTTTTGAGCCATATCAGACTGCTACAGCTGAAAGTAAATAGTAGACAATTATGACATGAGTCAGATTTTCCTTTCAGTTTTTTGTTTCACATTTCCAAAGACCTTTATATGGCAGGAAGTGTTTCATTTTAGAATCCATGTTATTCAACTATATTTTCATGCATACATTTTTTTAAAGAAGTTTGAGTCTCGTGAGGAAATGGAGGATTCTGGATTAACAATTTTCAAAATGTGGTGTGTACTCATTAATTTAGAATTTAAGCTCAAGTAAATAATAAATTATACCCTTCATCAAGTGTTTGTCTCCATTGATTTGGATTATTTGTTTTGGGTTTGCAAGGATATTGCCATAAAGTTACACATTGTAATATTTTTGTCATTCATGTGATTCCTTCAATTGAATGCAGAGCAGATCCAGGGGAATCAACAGAATTTATGTCAGATTAGTTTCAATAAGTCTGTTCTAAGTATGACTTAGTCTGGTTTAGTTTAAGTAATGCTGAGTAACTTAAGTCCCAATTAATTTTAAGTATGACTAAATCTAGATCCAGTCCTTGGTTAGCAGTGACGCAGTGTGGCAGATTTCCCATTTTCTAAGTTCCTTAGTAACAAGCAATGGATGCCAGTTGCAAATACAATATTAGACAAGAGGGGCAGTTTCCAAATTGTACTTCTTGCCTTTCAGATGACAGCAAGCTTGTGCAAGAATACATAAGTGTCAGTGAAATGTGTACATGTCTCAGGGTGAAATGGAACTCTGTATGGAAGCTGTACTGAGAAACTGAAGGGGGCAGAGAGCTGAACTCTGTTGAAACAGCTGAGTGGTTGTCAGCATATCATACACAGGTGTTTGGGTTGCTAAAATCAATCAGAGCAGCCTTCCCCAAGGTGGTGCCCTCTGGATGTGTTTGACTACATCTCCTAGCATGCTGACTGAAGGATGCAGAGAACTCTCCCCAAAATATCTGGAGAGCAGCAGGATGGGGGAGGCTGCATTAGCAGTTCCACAGTTTTCAGTCTGTTGCTCCTTTCCTATATTTAAACACTGCTGGGATGCAACCCTATGAAAGCTGACAGAAAAAGGGCCTACAGCATTCTCCAGCCATCATGGACTTATTTCTGGTTAAACATGCATTGAATTGGACCTTAAAGGAAATGCATGCTACTGGCTTTGCATTTTAAATGTTCACAGGTACTGACGTAAAATGGCTGCATAATATGATAGTTAGATCATGTTAGAGGTTTGGAGCCTAATGCTGGGAACAATTGACGGCAAAAGAAGAAGGGGACCGCTGAGGTTGAGGTGGCTGGATGGAGTCATTGAAGCAGTTGGTGTGAGCTTAAGTGGACTCTGGGGGATGGTGGAGGACAGGAAGGCCTGGAGGAATGTTGTCCATGGGGTCGCGATGGGTCGGACACGACTTCACAACTAACAACAAAGAGGTGTAGTCTTATGCATATTTAGACAGATAAAAGTCTTACAACTCCCAGTATGCCCCAGCCAGCAAGGCTAGCTGGAAGGATGCTAGGAGCTGTAGGCAGTTTTTCAAAGTACACATAGGATTGTATCCTAAGTGTGCTTTAATTTCCTTCTCTCAAATATTTCATGTCAAATACCTGTGGTGTATTGGGACAAGCACAACAACATTGGATACATTTTTGGTGTTTTTTGTTAGAATTGTCATTAGCAAACATGCTAAATTAGATCACTCTTCTGTGATTTTCTGATACAGGCTGAAACATTTTCAGTGCAAATGAGCCATGCAGATTAGGCTAATTTATATTGGATTGTTCCAGGTAACTCTTTTCTGGAAAACCCACATCATTGCTAGCTAGCCATTTTGTCATTCATGCTGATCCCTTTCCCATTGTCATGGTATTCCCAGCAGAAACCTTATTCCATCTTCATCAGAGCGGCTGAAAAAGTGTAGATTACTGGCATAAAGCTTTTCTGTACAGGGCTATTAATTCACTCTATGTACTTTCAGTTTTGTCAGAAGCACTACACAAAGATCCGTTCTTTTCCTGCTTTTCTACTGCATAGCCTTGAGGTAGCAATGTGATATGGTGGAACAGCAAAAATAAACAAGCGGAAAAATCTTTTTTTTTTTTTTTGGCTTTTACAATTAAATAGCCAATTTCCCTTGTTCTAATAAAACCTATTAAAAGTGCTCTTTAGAAACAAAAACAAAACTGGAAGGGCACAATGTTATCTAAAGAACCCATAAACAAGTGTGATTAGGGAATGATGAGCTCAGAATAGTTTCCTCATTTAGAAAAGCCAGTAACATCTTTTGGATTTCTCCTCTGAAACATATCCAGCATAAGTTCAAAATCTGCAATCATTTGGAGGAGATGAAATGAGGAGAAACCAGAATCTTAAAAGACAAGGAAAACACTGTGGAACGGTATAAGCAAAATGACCAAGCATGAGCAATCTGCATATCTTATTTAAATCAATACACCCTTTGCACAGCGGTTAATGATTTATATCCTGCTAAATAACCAAAAGCATCCTAGTGAATCCTAATGAAGTCAGTATGGTGGCTTGAAGCAAAGTTGCAACTCTACAATTCATAGCCAATACTATAGTGAGAAAAATCACTATTGTATATATCAACAATATGCAAAGGACTATGAAATTCAGCCATGAAATTCAGTCATCCCTTTGCTGAAGTGCCCAGTGTTAAAAGTCAAACATTTCCCATAGTAAATATGAACTGTATATTCCCTATTCTAAATATATTAGTAAAGCTATAAAATACTTTTTATAATGCTACAGAATGAGTACATATATCCTATCTCAGATATTCACTTATTGTTAGATCAGAGTTTTGATTGGATCATAAAACAGTTTGTTATAGCACAGAAGTTAAACAATAGAGTTACTCGTGAACACATGTGAACCCTCAAGTCCTGATCATTTTTAGGCAAGAGTGTGTGAATTTAAACTTCTAAATTCTTGGGCCTTGTATCCACTTTAATTTGCTCTTGAATTGTTCCAAATCAGATAGAAATTTAGACTGGTGAAAGTGGACTCCCTGCCCCCCCTTCCCAATGCATCCCCCTCCCGTCCCCTGAGAGTCTATCTTTGCTACACAGAGAGACAAGATAGCCCACTGCATAGGCTGACTAGTGGGGGGGGGGCGCAGAAGAGAGATCCCAGGTATTTGATAGGGAAATCTTGTTGAAGCTCCTTCCTTTTGTGAGACAGAGACTTGATCCAGCCCTTAACACACGGGTCCTCAAACTACGGCCCAGGGGCCGGATCTGGCCCGCCATGGCCATTTATCCAGCCCACCTCAGAGGTTTTCAACATGCCGCGTGCGAGTCCGCGCACCATGTGCACCCACTGCTGCCCACCTCACCCCCCACGTGGGGAGGCAGAGGCTTGCTCGTGAGGAGGTTGTTTGGACTCGCTAGGAGAAAACGATCTCCAAGCGAGCGAGCTGCTGCATCGCGCGCCCACCTCTGCATCAGGGCACATGCCCGTCCCCGCCTTGCCTCACCTCCCCTTTCTGCGCGCGCCCACACAGCCCGCCCCCGCCTTAGCGCCCACGCGCCCCGCCGGCACCACCTTTCCGGCCTGCGCCCAGCACCAGCATCCTTCCACTGGCCCCCTGGTGAAAAAGTTTGAGGACTCCTGCCTTAACATAACAATGCTGTTTTGAGACTGAGTCTTCCATCAAAGTTCGCATAGCACGGGTATTTTTGAGTCTTGTTGCAAATGTTTATATGGCTGAGTGTCACAGCGGCAGAAGCTGTGGTGTATGCAAGCGCATTTCTATTACCCCATGCTGTAATATTAACACATACCTGATTAATTGACTACCAAACAATCTTTGCAATCAACAGGACTCAACTGTCATTGGCTTTATGCCAGTGACAGTAAGTATGTATTACTTTTCTGAGAAACAGAGAAGAGCCACATCCTTAAAGTCACAAACCTATGTCTATTTAGGCAGAAACTGGGTTGATGATTCCCAGCATGCCTCAGCACACCCCCTTTCCATCTCAACGTGCATTGGATCAAACTTTAAGTCACTGCAGTATCTCATTTTGACTTCCGATTTTCCAGGTCATGAACCTGCAGCAGTGGAATTTCAGAGGAATGTGGCCTTCTGGCAGCTTGGGAGGCTAACCTTTTTGAGTATTGCAGAATGCATAATGCAAAAATTAAGGTAATGATTGCTGCACAAATCAGAAAAAGGTCCCTGAGCATGAAATCAAGGCATTTGATGCGGAGAGGCTTTCTGCATCCATCCAGTTCACTCCCATGGATCTGGCTCAGTGATCTCGTCTTTAGGGCAGCTGGAGTTGCACATATCACCTTGTCCAAGGATGCTTGGCTGATGTCTTCCATCCACCTCTTGAGATATAAAATAGAGCAGTCACAGTGCCACGGGTTGTTAGAGAAATCCATCTCCTTCACATTGGTTAGGCCATCCAATGCACCAGGAAGGACCGTAGTCAAGCTGTTGTTTTGCATCTGAAGAATTCTGATGTTAGGAAACAGGGGAGGAACTTCCTTCAGTCCCATAGAACTGCAGTTTACTGCCCAACCCCACAATTCTTCAAGTGGCTCGCAGGAGCACGGAGGGCAAGATATGGCGTGGCCAGTGGCCAGTAGTAGTAATAGGACTAGTCCTTTGGCAGCAGTAATCGTTACCTTGTCCATACTGTAGCTGTGGGATGAGAGTATACAAGAGTTGAGCATACACGACATAACGCATGGCCATGCCTCTTCATGCAAAACTAGATCTCAAAGCTTTGCCTGCCTGAATTACCAGTAGAAATTTCCTGGAAACTTGCTGCACAAATCGCTCCTACAGGGGACAGAGCATCCTTGAAGGTTCATTTATTTGTTATTGTATTGCTTTGAAATATCTCTAGGATGCCTTTCAGGGCAGAAATCCTCCCAGGAGGTTACAGAGAAGCAGAAGCTGAAGTCCAAGAGATCTGTGCAGTTTTTGCCTGATGTCGAAAGTCATCTTAAGTACTAAGGTTAGGGACAATTTCACTGTTGGTGCCCAGAAGGTTGCAGGCATCCACCTGAGTACAGGAAGAGCACTGAGGTGAGGATTGGGTGCCCATAACTCTCAAAAACATTTCTCCCTTCCTCCTGAGAAGAAGGGGTTGAGGCACTGCTTGGATTTGGCAGAGCTGGTGTTGCGCATGCCTTACTTCCCTGCCCCCCCCCAATATTGTTCTATTTTGACTGCCAAGGATCGGAGAGGGCTTGTGGGATTCCCATCTTAGGTGCCAAAAGAGCTTGCCTAAGCCTGGGTACTCTGCCTTGGCTGGAAGCCTTGAGAGGGCTACTTTTGCCACTTTGCTGCAGGCAGCAGAGCATCTTGGGCCAGCCCTGGTGTTTCAGGCTGCAGTCCTATATCTGGAGAGCAACTTGGTTTGTCACTCATATATCAAGATATCTGCCATTTCAAATACTTCAACCACAAGCAACTGATTCATGCATGTCTGTGTCCAGAGGTGTTATGATTTGCTCTATTCATTCAGATTCCTAGATTTACTCTGGTCAGCTTTCTCAGCACGATCTCCTTCGCAGCCATTTCTACTTCGTTTATTTGGCCTTCTCTAGCATTTTAGTAGCAACAGACACCCTTTAAGGTTGGTTTGGATGATGACTTGCTACAGTGGGCATTAACCACCTTAGTTGGGACATTACATTCACACTCAAAAAGATACTCAGTGCGTGGGGATAAGTAGAGGGAATTGCATCCATTTCAGGTAGCAGCTTTTCTACCTATCTATCTAAAATGAATCTCAAATAGCAATGTGGTATGAAAATATTAAACTATTCAGCAGATCATCTCTTTTGCATATGTTCTGTTCTCCTTTTATGTTAAAAGGGCAAGATGTAAATGAAAGATAGATAGGTTTCAGAATTTCTGAAATAAAAAGATTTTAGAATTTGATGGGAGTAAGCCCACTAACTTGCTGCTGGGAAAGTTGTGCTAAAAATTAATTTCACTTAAATAGTGAAGAGGTGTGCAGGTTTTTTTTAATAATATGGAATGTAAATATTCAAGTAAAGGCAGCATGAATTATAATATTGTGTAGCTATAGAACCACTGATAATGCATGCTTTTGGTATCAGGGAATATTACGATTCATGATGGAGTGCTGCTTTTATGTTCAGGCTTTTTAGCAGTGTGAGTCAAGGAGTACCTAATGAAAACAATCCACTTTGGCATTGAAGGGTCTTTCAAAATACATTTTTGCCATTGTGAAAAATGTAGGTCATGTTTCCTGAGCCACGAATTTTTATTATTACCTGTATTAGACAGAGACTCGAGTTGGGGGAAACAATTTTACATCACACACTTCTGAAATGAAATGCTTTTAGTGTATTGAAAGCCACATCTTGCAGAAAATTACTGTGGCTTTTATCTCTAAGGGGCAAGTCACCAAATGCTTACATTGATATTCCTGCATTTACTCCAGCATGCAATATTGTATTAGTGAAGACAGGAGTTATGAGCAGGAAGTTTAATGCACCTTTCACCATGGTAAAGCAGATTAAGTCTGTTCTCAGTAGAGAAAACAGAGAAGAATTAGAAGCATGGCATATCCCTCCACGCACTGGGAAAGAACACAGTGGTCCATCACATGACGATGGGAACAAGAACACCTGGGTACGGAAATGAAAGAAGGGCTCAGGAAGGACGACACTGTCCTGACCCACCTCTGAGGTGGTATTATGACTGAACCTGATGGCAATAAGAGACAGTGCTTGAGGGCTTGGCTGTGTTCTTATAATGAAACCATTCCTAGGTCCACATGGCTGCTACAGAGGCTTCCTATCACCTCCATGGTCTTCTGTTGTTTCAGTGATTTTAGAACGAGTGTGAAGAACTGCTTGCCTTCAGGCTGTGCCTGGCACATGGGGCCTTCCCCTCCGAGCCACGAGCCTTGCTTTTCAAGCCCCATCTGTGCTCTTGGGCTTGCTGCTCGGTAGCCGCCCCATCGCCACCTACTTTTCCTCCTGGGCCCCACCACAGTTTTCTCCTGTTGACCTTCTTGCCACGGCTCTACCAACTCCCTCCTTTCCTCCTCTTCCTTCTGGCCTTGCTGATAAGGCTGCCAGTCTTCTTCCTCAGCCAGAGGGACAGAGGGGAGAAAGCTGCACTGGCCTTTGTGGTGAGCCACTGGGATGGGATAAGTCGAATGGGAGAGAGGAAGGCAGGAAGGACAGGACAAAGAGCCTAAATGATGGAGGGACAAGGGGTGAAGGTAAAAAGGGACAGCCAGGATGGGTGCTCTAGGTGATTGATGGTGAAGCACCAGGTTGATAGGTGAAGGAGAGCAGAGCAGGATAGGTGGGGGAAGGAGAAGTGGAAACCAGGTACAGGAAGCCAGAAGAGGATGGAAGACGGTGGAGAGAAAGAGACACAAAGAATATCAGTGAAAGAGTGTGGTGTGTCTCCAGCCTCATCTACATCCATCTCTGTCCTCAGGCATTGCCAGGATGTGGCCCTCCAAACACTACCCTTGAGGCAATGTGACCTGTGGTGAAAAAAAGCTTCCCCACGTCTATTTTGAATCAAGAAACAACTCATATTTGGAATAATATTGGTTACTTTAATGTCCATATTTATGCCAAGGGGCTTATAATAGCCTGTATGGTTATCCCCTTCAGGGTGACCCACTCAGTTGCATGACTGAGCAGAGATAGGAATTCTGGTCCCCCTAATTGGTATCAGATACTCCAACCAGTCTTCACTGGCTCTCTGCCAGGACACTGATTGATGAAGAATTCCACTCACCTGGTGCCCCACAAAAGCAGTAACAATTCCAGCACATACAATAAGAAAAAAAGGGATAGATTTGGCTGTATGAACCCACCTGAGGTTATGAAATCCTGGGGAAGTGGAAACAGTCTTTCATTTGCTGAAAGTTGAAGCAGCCAGCTCTACCATGCAGAATATGCTGCAAAGTTTAATTAGATTTCGAAGTGATGCCAGCTAAAATTGACTTATAAAAGTGTAAATGAATTTATTGTTGAATTACTTCTTACCTTATTTCCCTTTTAAATAGGTGCTGACTGCTTTCCACTGAAGTGTCTACTTGCAGCAATGGACCAAATACAAGAGCTGTGTTTTTTCTGAAGTCCAGCAATGAAATGCCCTTATAAAGACCTCACCACAGAAGCCAAACCTCCTTCATTATCTGACCAAACACAAATGAATAATGACAGCTTCCTATACGAGCTATTCTTTGTATGCATTAAATTGGTTTCAGCAGGCAAGAGGAAATAATTCCAAATATTTGTTGAGCTATTCTGTTAGCTCCTTAAATGGTAACAAAATGTTTTAGCAAGATGCAATGCTTTATTTCTTATCCTTGGTCCATGTACAGCAGTTTTATATAACCTGGGAGCAAGCCCCATTAAGCTTGTACTCCAATGCCATTTAGTCCAGGCATCTGCACCATGGAGGAATTCATTGTATCTAATTCACTTGATAGACAAGTAGATATATGAACATCATGGATAATAGACCAAGAGCCTGTGTTCAGTCCATGTGTTCCAGGCCAAAATCCCCCATTGCCTTGTCAAAATATCCCTTTTGAAGGGGGCACAGAATTTTGACAGCTAGCTGTCAAAGCTTTGAAATCTGTGTTATGTAGAAAAAGAGGGGGGTGTACTTTTTGCACCTCCCCAGGCACCTAAGACTTGGGAGAAAATGCAGCGTGTGCATCATCTGGAGGACTACTGGGGAAAAAGAAAGAAGTATAAAAGGGTGGGGGAGGATGCGGCCATGAAGGGACATCCCAGTACAACAGTTTTGTGAGCAAAGCTCACTCGTGCCTTTGGTTTAGTTCGGCAGTTTGCCTTTTGGTCACCACCAAACCAAGCCAAAACTTGGGGAGTCTCTTTGAACCCTTCCTGGATCCAGGTTCAGATTGATCAAGGTCAGCTTTGGACCCGCCCAGTGGCAGCTTGCTCACGAGGAGATCATTTTCTCTGAGCGAGTCCAAAACGATCTCCTTGCGAGCAAGCCGGTGCCTCGGAGAAAGCCATCTCCACATGCACCCGCCCCGCCTCGCCCCGCATGTGTGTGTGCCCACGCACCCCCCGGCCTGCGCCTCCTGCCCGCACGGCCTTGGCGAGGCGGGTACACGAGGCAGCGGCTGGCTTGCCTGGAGATCATTTTCTCCAAGCAAGCAAACTGCTGCCTCCCCACGTGTGGGGCGAGGTGGGCGGCGGTGGGCACGGGTGCACACGCGGCAGGTCCAGATGGGCATGGCGAGCTGGATAAATGGGCATGGTGGGCCGGATTTGGCCCGCGGGCCGTAGTTTGAGGACCCATGCACTCAGAAGATGAAGTCCTCCTCGGGACAGTTCCATCCCCCTCCCTATTGCTGCAGGATGTCCTGCTACATTCCCCACATTGAGACATGGGCAGCTTTCACACAACATGGGAATGGGCGGGCCTGAAGGCAGCTTTCCTGGAAGCAGCCAGGTCTTTCTGCAGAGAAAGAGGCAAGGTTGCTTTAAGAGATGGGGTGTCTAGTATTGTCTGCAAGCTTACAGGCCAGGCCTTCCTACAGGCCCGGCCTTCCTGAAAATATTTTCGCCTTCCTGAAGGTGATATTTTCAGAAATTTCAGAAAAATTTGCCTCAGTTCGTGAACTCCACATTGGGTGACAAACACAATCATGTCCATGTTGCCTCATGAACACAATCACAATCTCACGATTATGGTTTGGACTCTCCCTCCAAACAATAACCTCCCCCTCACCTAGATTAGTGTTCTCTACTATACTTTGTTACTTTGTTGTTCTTTGTTACTTGGTTTCAAATTTTTGTGATTAAAAGAAAAAATATTTACAGAATGGATTAACCTTATTTACATTGAACCTTATTGGGAAATTTGACTTGGCTCGTGACCAGGTCATGACCAGAGTCATAGAATGGATTAAGTTTGTGAGCCAAGGTACCACTGTACATTCATTTTCCATTGACCCAAAAAAGGCCGTAAAGTGGTTTATTTTTGACTCTGCTTTCCCTTGACAGCTGTCAAAGGCAAGCTGTTAATAGAAAGCAATGGTGCAAATCATCTTTACACATGAAACCAGGTAGTCAATAGATCATACTCTTCATGACAAGATACTCTACTTGCTGGCTGTACCTGAGTGTATCCTGCCTCTTTTCCACCCTTTCCTGAGACTAGATGCTTGGGAAGATGAAAAAGTAAAAGCCACATCTTTTTTAAAAATGGGGAGAACAGGAAACAAAGGATGCAGTGAGCAAGAAAGGGCTAGAAATTACAGAGGGGAAAGGAGCTGGTGAAGCTTTAGCAGTTAAGTCCCTGAAATATCAGCTGGAGCACCAAGGAGTCCTTACCTACTCAATGTTGGCTCTATCTCTCATTCTATTGATGGAGTAATTGTCCAGTTTTGAAACTGTCCAGTTTTCAGGCAGGTGTAAAATTGACCAAGCATTAAAACAACTTGTCAAATTTAGGACTTTTGAGTCTTGAAATACTCAAATCATGTCACAATAATATCATGCTGGAAGTTATTTTATGGACTCCTTTAATTATTTCTAGTTTTCTGTTGGGGAATTTATCCACTAAAATTCTGAAACTCCATGTGTCCATGTTCAAGTCAATATTAAATGCCACTCTTAAATGCTAGCAGCATAACCCACATTGTATCAAGTACAATAACATTTTCTTAATTATTCAGAATTGCAGATCTTTTAGCATCAGCAAATGATACATAGCTATTCCTTGATAGTTTGGAGAAACTTCCACTGCATCATTTATGAAGTTTTACAGTGGTTCAAATGTCACTTTCATTTCTAACCATGCCATGTTTTCCCATCACTTCTTCCATCTTTTTTCTTTCCACAATAAATCCATCGAGAAGAAAAGACAGAACAGCCCAGCTTGCATATAAAGGCAACAAATCATGGGTTAATTAAACTACAGTTTGCTGGGATTGCATGCCATCACCAACCAAAACATGCTACTTCTAATCAGCCCAACTGGAGGTTGCTTTCTAACTACTATTATGAGTTAATAGTAGATGAAACAACCCAACATTAAACAAATCATGTGTGTTAACTTTGGGTTGTTTAGCTGATGATTAATCCATAGTGTCCAGCTTTGAAAGTCACGGCTCCATCTCTAATTGGAGGTTGCATATTCAAAATAATTCTTTATCAGTATGCTTGCTTTCTGTCCCATGATGAAATAGGTCATTCATGCAGCAGTTTTCCTCCTTCTACAGAAGTCAGCTCTAAAGAACATTCATTGAAGGGTGGAGAATTTCAGATTTAGGAGTCAAATCCAATCCATTGCCCAGGACTCCTCATAAGGCCCTGCCCCCTTCCCTATCAATTCTTTGATGCTTTAGAGCCTTTTGAGCACTTCTTTCTCCATTGTAAAAGGTTGATGTGCTTCTCTTAAGGCTTCATTATTAGCAATAAGAGTTTTAAACTGCAATATGCTGACTTTTAAATTTTTATTTTGGACTCCATCTCTTTGGTCTTTGATGCCATCCATCATCGGAATGTGGCCCCCAAGAGCCTCTGTGAATTGAATTCAGTCTGTGGGCTGAAAGGAGCCCTCACGCTAGTCTAGCTTAAAGGATCCTTTTCATTTACTAAGAGGGCAAAAATATGTATGAGGCCACAGGGCAAGGTTTGGCATCACCGGACCCAGTTGCCTGCCACTTATTTAGACTGTACCCACTGACCAACTGCTGTGGACTTTTCATTTGAGATTTCAATCTGATCTGAGGTTTTTGAACCCATAAGCATGTTCTCTTCACATACAGTACAGGTTTTATAGACAAAGATTATTCTTCCTCCACACCCTCTCCCAGAGTCTTAATCCAAAAGTTTAGCAGAATCCATGTAAGGCATGTGCATGTGAGGGGATTTACAATTTCGCACATCTGCAGCCTGACCTCCCTGCTTCCCGCTTGATGATAAATTGCTGCTTTGTAAGAAAAATGAGAAGTCAAAAGAAACTCCCAGCATAAAATCTGGGCGAACTCTCAACCTGCCTTGCAATTTTGTTTAATTATTATTTACTTTTAAAAACTGCCCTTAAGGGACTCGGAGTCAATTACCCAAAGCCTAAGCTTAGTGGGTAATCTTTCCTTAAAAGATGATTTATGGTACACATTTGTTTCTTAACATTTAAGAGCTGCTTGAAACAGAGCTACGAGCAGAAGAATAAAGCCCCTTAAAACCTCTGCAGAATAATAATCATGACGGGAAAGAAAATGAGGTGTTCCCCATTAAAATGAGCAGCCTGCCTGCTTGTCAGCTACACTCCAGCAATCTATTTCTGAAGAGGCTGTTAATGCAGGGATGGGTAGAGAAGGCCCTCTTGATTTAGCGCAGCTTTAGACAGCAACATCTGTTAACATCATCAGCACTTGGGGAGAAGGGGAGAGGCCTTTTTAGTGAGAGAGCACTTGGCTGGGATGCAGATTTCTAAATGAAAGAGGGTGGAATGACAGCCCATTTTATTTTATATCATTACACATTATGATTTAATAATTCCTGAATTTAAAGACAGAGCCTTTTCTCCAGTGGCTTCCTGATGCTGCAGTACTCTCCCCAGAAATTATTACATGTCATTACATTATTATTGCATTACAATTATTGCTACACTACATTATTACTTTGTCCACTGTGTCTTCCCTGCTGGTTAGGGTCAGGTCGAGTAAGGCCATACCTCTTGTTCCTACTTTTACTGTCTGCTGGAGGAAGTTATCAGTGACACATGATAGGAATCTCATCCTCTCTTTGACGGGGTGGGTGATAACAAACTCCAACTACTATGCTTCTTTTATTCCTTTCCCCATTTATATGACTCCAAATACACTTGATGGGATTACTGGTCTCTTCTTCCTATATTTATTTGCAGAGATATGTATCTTTAACATATGTGCAACTCTGTCTCCTTTTCTGTTACTTCTATTCTTTTTGAACAGGGTATATCCTGTAAATTTCGAATACCATTCATGGGAATCATCTCACCAAGTTTCAGTTATGCCTATCAGGTCATCTTTGCCCCCGTGTGGTAAGAGTTCAAGTTCATGTTGTTTGTTTCCCGTACGTTGGGCATTGGCGTACTGACATCTAAGGCCACG